ACAGAGCAGGAACAACAGGGACAAAGAGGCCTGAGGCATGTGGGGTGTAGGGCATGTGTGAGGGAGAGCAGGGAGATGGAGCAGCCCAGCAGGAAGGGCCTGGGGTGCTTCTGGACTTCCTCTGTGAGACAGAAGGATCCTGGAAGGGAAAATGTGGAAATAGCATGTTGGTATTTGGGCTAGATCAGGAGGCATGGCCTGAAGAAGATCCAGGCTACAGCCAGAGAAACCTGGCCCTGGTTTCAGAAGGAGGTGATAGGACAGCTGGGTTAGGGATTCAGAGGAAGGATCACTGGAGAAAGTCATGTCGTGTTAGACAAATTCAGGGAGAAAACAAAGGGAGAATAGCCCTGGATCTGGATGCCTGGCTCTGTTAGAAGTAGCCAGTCCCCAAGGACACCACCCAAAGTAAGGGATGTTTATCATGAGCAGTCAGGTCCAGCTAAGACCCTCATTGACCTACACTCCAAAATACTACTGTGCCCCAATCATTATATTTCATTCCAAAAACACCATTCTGTAAAGTAAAATTTTGTTTTTTGAAAGGACCTAAAACCTACATGCCTGATAAATGTACCGTAGCCCTTATTCAACCTTTCTGATTCTCTCGCTGCATCTTGAAGGGTGTGCAGTGGCCCCTCTCAGTATGTGCACTGAACATGGCCAAAGCCAGGTCATCCCATCTGAACAGAGAAAGATTCTTTTTATTCAGAAAATGCTCCAGAGACTGAGAAGAGGACACCAATATTGAGATGCATTTTGAGGGCCGGGTGAATGACCAGGAATTGTAAATTAGCTTCCCAGGAGTAGAGAGTTCAAACTTTATTGTGCCCTAGACTTTAAAGAAATTGGTTATCAGTACCATGGAATAACAAAATTCAGGCTTAACAGGTGCCACCTATCTGGTAGTCGTCTCTAATGCAAAAACAGACATAGTCACTAGTAATTAAAATAACAATTATGATTCTGAGCACCTCCTGGGTGCTCAATGCTTAACAATGCAAGTGCAAACGACATGGCATTTGTGATTTCAGGTATTTCCCAACACACCAGCAAGGTGGCTATAGCATTCCCATTGAACAGTTGAAGCAAACAAGGCTCAGAGGGCCAGGCAACCTGCCTAAGCTTCAGAAGCTGGACATCATAAAGCTAGACTTAAAACCCAGACTGATTTGATTTCAAAGCCCGTGCATTTCTCCACCCTGTGGCTAGCACAGTGCCTGGTCTCAGGGCTTCTACACAGTCCTAATTTTTCTTTCCTTTGTACCTGAGCCTAGTCTTTGTGACTGATTTCTAGAAACATGCCCTCATTAGCGCTGCTCCTGTTCTGTTTCTTTTTCCTTGAGTTTTGCTGCAGATTTACAAACTAATCCTGCAATGATGAGCTAGAAGGCACCAAGCTGAACATTGGAAATACAGAAATGAACAAAATCTAGTCTCATTTGTATGTGGCTGCAGGAGGGAGACTGCAGGGCTCCTGAGACAGGAGACAGTGTAGACACTGACCAGGAGTCAGGTCCACCAGGGTTTCCCCTGACCCTCCCAAGATGAGAGTGAGAGCTGCCGTAAAAATCCTATGGAGAGGGCTACTCTTTGAACTCTTGGATTGCTTTTTAAAGTCACGGACCTTCATATTTCTAGTTTGACTTAACAGGCCACCTCTGGCAAGCCTCACTGATAGCTTTTTTAAGAAAATACGTATTAATGCCTGATATAGGCACTTATCAGCAAGAGGTTTCTACATTAGTAGCTGGGTGGGATGGATAGTTTGGCCAACCCCTGAGATTGAAAAATTGAGTAACCATCACCCAAAGTAGGGACATCATCCCTCCAAGACTATTTTTTGGCATGGATTCAAAAAGGCCAGGGACACATCTCAAGCTACCTGACAGAGAAGAAAGTGCTCACCACTGGCCGTGTCTTTGTTTTGCAGTCACAGCCCAGCGCATAAATACTACCTGACCACAGACCCCATGAGTGGGGCCGTTTTCCTTTCTGACACCAACAGCCGGCGGGTCTTTAAGATCAAGTCCACCATGGTGGTGAAGGACCTTGTCAAGAACTCCGAGGTGGTGGCAGGGACTGGGGACCAGTGCCTCCCCTTTGATGACTCTCGCTGTGGGGACGGAGGGAAGGCCACAGAAGCCACACTCACCAATCCCAGGGGTAAGGCCTTGCATTGAAATCACTCTCAGTAATGTTTATTGGGGCACTTCCATTTCCAGGAGACCTACATGTTTATCATTGCAAAAAAATTCTTGGAAAATACCAATAAATATACAGAGGAAAGTTAGGATTGTGATAATTCTACCTACCAGAAATATTCCCAGTTAATATTTCTTATCTGTTCTCTTTACCTTTTTTCTAAATGTTTATATGTATATAATATTCACCAAAATCAAGTAAACAAGATGAGGTCACATTAAACAAACTATTTTTGTACCCTGCTTTTTCTCCCTAAATGATATAGTAGGAGCTCTTTCCATTGTCATTAAAGAGTCTTATGTGTCCTTATTTTTAATGGCTATATAGTATTCCTCCAAGTGGATGTCCCATCATGTATTTATCATGCTATTGGATATGCATGCTCTCTCATGTTATTATTACCAAAAGCACTAGTCTGTCATCTTGGCATATGTTCATGAGCTATGGGGCGATTAACTGTAGGTTTCAATTTGGAATCCTTCCAAAAGCTAAACTTCTAAATGCTCAGTTTCAGTATTTGTCATTCACTTTTTGAACAAGTATGTACTGAGTGTGTAGAGCTCTGAGGTTGCATAGATAAGTTCTTTGTAACAGCATAAATAAGACTTGGCTGTGAAGCACTCTGATGTGGGAGAGATCGAGAAGTGTTCCCTGAGATGGAGGAAGAACTGTGCATGGGGGATCAGAGCTGGGAGAGAGCTTGGACCCTGGGAGTCTTTTTAGAAGGGAAGCCATCATCATACAGACGTCCTGCAGTGGAGGTTTGTCTGTGGTGCCAGCCCCACGGCCAGCAACTTCGTGTCTCCGCTGCAGGGTCCTCATCAATAGAGTGGGGGTAACAGTACCATCTGTGTAGACTTCCTAGGAATGGTCTAAGGGCCAAAATCAATGTATTTCACATGGTATCCTGTAAAAACATCATGAATGATTGATTATACTAGAAGGCCGGGGTTCAAATCAAAGCAGTAGACTCATGAAATCATGCATTCAAATCTAGGTTTTGTCATCTAGTAGCTGTGTGACTTTGGGCAAGTTGCCTAATCTTTCTGAACCTCATTTTCCTCATTTATGTAATGAGGGTATACTACAGTTATAGTACAGATTAAATATATCATCAGAAATATAAATGCTTAGCACAGCAGCATCGGGCACATAGTAAACATTGCATAAATGGTGACTCCTATAACTATTGTTATATTGTATTACAATGCATTATGTCACCTCCCATGGTATACCCTCATAGCATATTATCTCTACCGCATGGCTGGAGTGCTCAGGTGGTAACTGTGGGGTAAATATTGTGTCATCAATAGTTAATTTCCCTCTTAATTATGATTTGCTGTATGAACAAGCAGTGAGGAGGGGAGTGAGCACCGACCTTGCTCTTGGGGACCCTGCCTTACGGTTCCTCTCTGCTACTCACTGACTCTGGGACCTCCTCTTCTGGACCTCAGTTTCCCCGATAGTCCAGGAGAGGTTAGCCTGATGATCCATCAGCCTCTCTCTGCTACGACACTCTACTCTCTGAGAATTCAAAGTTTGTTCTTGAGATTTCTGTTCTGCGCTGGCGTCCCTCAGCGGCCCTGCACACTCGCACTCCCTCCCCCTCACACAGATGGAGTGGCAGCACAATTGCCCAAAAGCCTGCAATTAACCCAGATAAAAATGACAGAGAGTGCCACAATACGCAGACACTTTGCAGTAGGGAGGAGAAAAGATGTCCATCTATTTAGCACAACAAAAAGAAGGGGAAATGAAGTCATTAATCAGGGGACAGATCACTTCGATTAGCCTGTGCAGCCAACTTTGTAAACAAGAAACCCAATTGTTCATGAAACACTCATCAGTCCTGGCAGATGGAAGAGAAAGACAGGACAGAGCCAGGAAGACAAGAACACTCCTGTCTTGGTACTTAAAGAATGAAATTGATTTGCATTCTAGGCAGGGCCCCAGGAAAGGCTCCCAGCCTCGAGGCCGCCTGGTCCTCTGTGTGAAACCCTCTCAGGCTGCCCAGCCCCAGGGGGCATGGAAGCCCCACCAGTGCTCCAGGGGCCATTCCTCACAGCTGGGCCATCCCAGCCCACCTGCTGGCCAAGGAAGAGACACAGGGGCCCAGAGCAAGTGCCACAAAACCTACAGAGTGCTGGGTGTTTCTCATAATCCTGATAGCCACTAATAATTATTGATGGCTAACTATTGCAAGGCAGATGTTGGTATCCTCATTTTATTAATGAGAAACCAAGACTTAGAAGGGATGGAGTTTGCTGAGGTTAACCCAGTTGGGAAGTCTCACAGCCCAAGCGTCTCCACCTCAGCCAACCTCGTCTGACCCTTTCTTCCCCCACCTGCCTCTAAGAAAATCAAGCAGAAGTGACAAGTTCTCCTCAGGTCTGTCATTTTCTGGGCTTCCCCGTCTAGACCAGGCCCCTCTCAGGGGCAAATCTTGCCCGTCATCCCTGAGCGTCAATGGTGTGGTAGGGGAATGTCTGACAGGCCATTCTGGGCCTGGGGTGAGAATCAGAATCACCCATGATCAAATTTAAAGTGTGCATTGGTCACAGGCACAATCACCCCCTGAACTAGTATTTCCAAGAGGGAGGTCAAAAGGTGTGTGTTGAAAACGTTCCAGGTGATTCTGATGCACATCACTGGCTAAAAAATACTGAGTGCGTATCATGACCACCAAGGTGTTTGCCAAGATCAGAGAGGTGCTCAAGTGCACTTGAGATCTGGAGCAGGTCCCCCAAGGGATTCTCACACACATTCAAAAAAGAAATACAGACTTACAACAATACCTTGGTTTGACAGATGAGGAAACAAGTGCAGGGATGTCCAGTGGCTTGCCCAAGATCACACCAGCTGGGCCAGGGAGAAAGTCAACCAAGTGTCAGTCTAGGGATGGAACAGATGATATTGAGTAATCCTGGCTCCTCTCTTTGATGTGCTATCCTTAGATGTTAATTCAACAATATTCTCTTTGCAAACCCATAGGATTCATTTCAGACTATGCTTTTGCAGTGACAAATGTCTTAGTCAGCTTTTTCGCTGCTGTGACTAAAGGACCTGATCAGTACAATTGTAGAGGAGAAGAGGTTTATTCAAGGGCTCACAGTATCAGAGGTCTCCATTCATAGATAGCAGCCTCCATTCCTGGAGGCTCAAGGTGAGGCAGAACATCATGGCAAAGTGTGTAGCAGAAAGAAGCAGCTCACCTGGTAATCAGGAAGCAGAGAGAGACCCCACTTGCCAGATACAAATATATACCCCAAACCATGCCCCCAGTGAGGCACTTCCTCCAGATACACCCAACCTGCCTCTAGTTACCACTCAGTTAATCCCATTGGGGGGGGGGATGTCGATTCACTGATTAGGTTAAGTCTATAACCCAATCATTTCTCCTTCAAACCTTGCATTGTCTCACATGTGAACTTTTAAGGGACACCTCATATCCAAACCATAACAACCAATTAAATTAAAATAATAAGGATAGAAAAATTTAAAGAACTATCTTAAAAGAAAAGAAAATTTATTACCAAAAAAGTAAAATAAAATACAAAAAAGTGTATTTTATTATTACATTTGCAGGACTTGAGAAGTCAGTTAATTTAAATAATGCACAGTGTAGTGAAAAATACCCCCTTACCACTACCTCTAGTGCTTCAAAACCCCTAGAAGTTATGAGTCCAGTTTTTGTGGGTGACTGAGGTGATAAATAAAAATCTCTGGAGGCAGCAAAGCAGGACTAGAGCCCAAGAGGACCTGAGATCCTGGGTTCCATCCCAGTTTCAAACAAAGCACACAGTTTCTGCACCTCCATCTGTTTGTCTTTAGAAGAGAACCCATGGGCTTGGGCGTGGCTCTAGTATGCACAAGGCCCTGGGTTCCATCTCCAGCACCACACAAAAGGGAGGGGGCTGAGTGTCGTAGGAGGATCTGAGGAGACCAGGCTGCCCAGGTGCTTTCTGTCTCCTTTTAGCTCTGATGCTGATTTCCTGTTTTGGCTTCTCCATCCAGGCATTACAGTGGACAAGTTTGGGCTGATTTACTTTGTGGATGGCACCATGATCCGACGCATTGATCAGAATGGGATCATATCCACCCTGCTGGGCTCCAATGACCTCACATCAGCTCGGCCCCTCAGCTGTGATTCTGTCATGGATATTTCTCAGGTGAGAAGATCTTGTCTGCTAGAACCCTGGGCCCTGAGCTCATCCTCTCATCCACCACCCAGCCACCCTGCTGGCCCTTCATCTTTGCACCAGACAAGCCTTTAAAGGATACCCACTTGGTACAGGCCTTTGATAAGCACCAAGGATGCAGAGATGACACTGACCCTGCCCCACTCACCTCCCAGAGGCTGTCATCAAGAAGGTAACAAGTGTGTGGGCATGGCAGAAGTTCTGGGAAATCTGCCCAAGGCCAGCAGAGTAGGATGGACAGAGCTTTAAACATGTTAATTTAAATCCACAGCCTCCTGAACTTCCTCTTTGGTAACACATACAGGTACTTGCATATTATCTATTCTTTTTCTAGGTCATAAACTTCATGAAGCAGGAATTCTGTCTTTACTTAATCAGGTGGCTAGTACACATTGAAGAACAGCCCATATGTGTTGATTGATTGATTGAGTGAGTGAGTGAGTGAATCCTGGCTTTGCCACTCACTAGCTCAGTAACTTTGGGCAGGTTTTTGAAGTCTTCTGAGCCCCATTTTTCATTTGAGAAATGGAAAACACTGCCTTGGGCCTGGCAGAATTGCCTCGAGAACACACACAACAATGCCGGTGAACTTCCTAGTGCTGCTCAACACTTCAGAGGTGGAATAAACTGAATTTCTAAGGTCCGCTTACACAGGAGGTGACATTTACTCCAGGTTTTAAAGACTGAATAGGGGTTTTTCTAGGCAGCAAAAAAAGAAAAGGAGACATTTCACAGAAAGGGGACAGGATGCACAAAGGCACAAAGATGTTAATGAGACTGATATGTTCAAAAACATTGGGAAATTGAACGCCAGAGCTCAAGCGCTTGGAAGGAAAAGGTTGAAATAGGAAGCATGGTCTGGGGACAATAGGAAAGGACCTTACCACATCAGGCCATAGAGTTCAGACCTTGGCAGGTGGGCACCAGGATCCCAGGAAAGACTCAGTAGAGACACATTGACTAGCAATCCAGCATGACCTTAGGATAGCCTACAGTGACTTGGCAAGTGACCCTTTATTGCTAGGTCCTTGGGCTGGGCTTGGCCTGTGCCATCTTGTCAACGTTACCAGAACCTAGAAAATCAGGAGGCTGACTGTGGCACTTGCTCCCAGCCCCACTCGTCACGCCCGCCTGTTCCTGACACGTGTGGCTTCCCCAGGGCCCCATAACTGCTGCTGGCAGTCCCAGCACTGTGCCACGTGCCAGTCGGATGCTAGTGCGGTTTCCCTCTGCGCCAACTACTGTGATTGCTGCGCTCCAGAATGGAATCTGTTCTCTGCCACTCGTCTTTGCAATTTGGCAGGCTTCCCCTCGCTGGCTCGAGAGTTTCCCTCTCCAGTCTGTGAGCAAGCTGGAATCACCCACCAGGAAGCAGCCACGGCCTAAGGATGTGCATACAAGTATTTTCAATTCTCAAAACGGGCCCTCAACCAGCCAGCGCAGGGTGCTGAACATTTTCAATCCACACATTGGAAAATTGTTTAACTTTAGATAGAGACACTGCCAAGCAGTCAGAGCAAAGGCTTGGAAGACAACTGGCATGTATTGGATGGGGGAAAAAATGAAAACCCACACTTAGATTCTGAAATCCTAGACTAAAAATTTCTTTACTGCTGGCCCTTACTACCTTTGTCTGAATCTAAGCATGGATTTTTTTTTTTTTTTTTTTTTTTTTACAAAACTCCAGTGCCGGCATATATTTTGACATACAGATATGGGCAGCGGGTACTGGCTTTCATTCTCAGAGCTTCCTCTGTTACCAATACCCAGCTACTTGGCTGTCCCATCGGGAATAGGGAGGGAAGCCAAAGATAGAACACAGCTAGGAGGCAAGGGTACAAAGGGGAGAACCCAGAAACCTGGACCAACATAGGAGGAGACAAAGACCAGGTCCAAGATGAGAAAAAGGGATGGGAGGGAGGCATCGAGTAGAGACGGGGCAGATTACATGCCTGTAATCCCAGCAACTTGGGAGACTGAGGCAATAGAATCATGAGTTCAAAGCCAGCCTCAGCAATTTTGCAAAACCCTAAGCAACTCAGGAGACCCTGTCTCTAAGTAAAATATAAAAAGGACTGGGGATGTGGCTCAGTGGTTAAGTGCCTCTGCTTTCAATTCCTGGTACAAATAAAAAGAAAGAAAGAAAGATGAATATTAATATAGCCAGGTATGGCCACCCCAGACAGAGCATCACTCTCTACCTAGGAACCAAATGAGCACTCTCTATGTGCTGGGTTCTTTTCTATTGAGATTAGAGAGCTAAGCATGGCTTCTCTTTTCTCATGTAGCCATCACAGTAATCCTGTAGAGTAGATATTAGAGATAAGGAAACTGAGACCTGGTGAAATAAAGGGTGTTATTTATGCAGAGCCCTATACTAGATTTCATCAGAGATGCGAAATGAATTTTTTAAATAAAATCATGTAAGTAAACGCCTAGTACAGTGCCTGGCAGCTGCCAATAGGGTGTCAATATTTGGTTCCTTTAAAATCCACAAAAGAACTTCCATGTACATTGCCTCAGCCGATTCCCACAACTACCCTATGCAATATTTATTACCCCTTTTGCTATGGGGTGAGAAGGTCAGTGTCTAGGAAACTTGAGTAAGATGACGCTTCTGGTGACTGTGGAATTGGAGTCGAAGTGAGGTGTCCTGCCCTCCATCCCTTGCTGGGTCTGTGCCATTTGCTGGCCATTCATTCATTCATGTGACAGTCATTTCTGCAAGCACATCACTCTTTAACAAGGCAGTCAGCTCAGAGAGCCTCAGTGAAACAGAGAATACTCAGGAAGACAGGGTGGAAGGGATGCCCCTCCCCGACATGACCCTTAAACTAGGAGCTGGAGGACCTCCAAAGGCATGAGGTCTGCTCCCTCTGTTTTGGTGGTGGGAAATCAAGCCAAAGGCAGAACCGTCCCTGATCAGAGGTGAGACCAGATTGGCTTATATACAGTGTGGCCCAGGACCATCATGCCAGCTACGTGACAGAGCAGCTCTGAGAGCAATGCCTTCTCCACCCCCGGGTGCCCCTGTGTATGCAGCAGCTTTCGACAACGTGCTTGCTGTTCATTTCTTCTGGTTTCCTCTCTCCTTTCCCTCTACTGATTCCCTCTCCCCCCCTCTCCCACCCACCCACTCATCAAGACGCCATCTTTTCATCATAATGACAGGCAGAAAGGTCTCGCAAGCAGGTCCCCAAGGTGCCCCAGGACCAGAGGGCATAAAATATTTAGCAGCCAGTGTTGACAAGAAATGGGTTTTAGAAAATTGAAAATTCTCCTGTCACTTTAGAGCAAACTGTGTTCTTGATGCAGCCGAAAGCTGGCACAACTGTGCTCCAGAGAGCACTGGGGAGCATGAGTGGCAGTCTAGGCCACAGCTCTGCAGGGTCTGCAACACCCTCACTCTGTGCAGACAGCCAGGCACTGGGGTCGGGGGTGAGGAGACAAGACCCGAAGACAGACTGCTCTGAAGAACGGAGAAAGGGCTCACCCTTCCTGAGAATGGCCCTGAGCTAAGGGGATAGATGAAGGTGGCCTCGCCTAGACATATAATTTATTGGGGTTTCATTCTACCTAGGCAAACAATCTCATGCACCTTGCAAGAAATTTGAAAAGTTTAAAATCACCAAGAATATTAAAATGGCCTTTTATCCTAGTATGGTTAATGTTTTGAGATATATCCGTCAAGCT